CCAGAGGTTGTATTGTGGCTGGGACATTGGGTCCTTCCTGACCCCACCAGGGGGGCAGTTTATCCAGCCTGTTTACCCGTCCTGTTGCCAAGGCTCCCAGCCTGCTACAATGGGCTGCCTCACGCCAACCTCTGTTCCCACCTCTGGCTCCCGTCCTACCCACTGGCCTTGCCTGGACACTCCCATTGACGGCAGTCGTGTGGAGAAACATTTCCTTGAATTCTCAATGTCCTGACCTTCTGCTCTGGCCTTTCTTCCCCTGCCCCAAATCCCTTCCTTTGGCTCAGACAGGCAAAGTGATAGGCAGATTTAGGGGGGCTGCCTACAGGAGGTGATAAAGAGCAGGGGTTGGGGAGAGACTTGTTTCTGCTAGAGCAGAAGCCAAGCCAGGAATTTACTGACTCTTATCCTTACGACCTACCTCCTCCAGCACGTTTCATAGCCTGTCATTCATTTCTATCTCAGGGAGAGTAAGTTCATCGGCTTCTCCTGAAAGGATGCAGTGATCGGAAGCAGCTGAGGGCCATTGATGGGCTGGGGAGACGGGGGTCTGTAGACTCTCCTCCAGGAACCTTGAAGCTTCCTTGATGCCCTTCCCACTGAAGCTCTGAGCTAGAGTGCCGGTCAGGCTTCCTGATTCTGAATCGCAGCCCTTCCGCTTAAAGTTGTTTGACACTGCTGGGTGGGCACCTCTGAGCCTGGCTACCACCTACAAATGGGAGCAGCAACAGTGTTATCTTCTGGGACCGCTGCCTTATAGATGAACTCAGCGATGAGCGTGGAACGCTGACGTGGGCCACGCGAGGCCTCTGACATGGCATCCCCACCTCCCTGAGGCAGTGCTCTGTCTTTGAGCCTTTCCCTGGCTCTACCCCATCTCACCTGACTCCAGGTAGCTCCTCTCTTCCTTTTACCGTCCAGACTTCTTCTACTGAAGGCCTGGTTGTATTCAGGGCTGCTGTCCAGAGATCTATATAGGCCTTCAGAGACCTAGGCTAGAAGAATGGCTACCATGGCCTGTGCCACAGCTAGGCGGTGGGGGCTGCTTGTCTCTGTGGCTGGGTTTACCTCTGATCTCTCTAAAAGCAAGAAGCAAAATCTTACACATGTTTGCCATTGCCAGAGGTGACATTGCTCTGGGTGACTTTAGTTGGCCTGTTGCTTATAACAGGGGACTCCAGGGTCCCTTTGGTTGGTCAAATCCTGCCCTATCCCATCCCATGTTTGTGCAGGGTGACAAAAACTTTCCAGGCTTGTTGGCTTGGTTGGCCCCAAACCTCCCGTCAAATTCCTCTTTTGTGTCACTGTGGCTGGCCTTGGGGGCAGAGCTCCGCTAGGAGGGGGGACTCATTCCCCTCTGGCCCCTTCTGTCATTCCTCTCGGAGCTTAGGAGCAGCTCCAGACTCATGGGAGGGGAGGGTCGTTCAGGGCAGGCCAGGCCCTGATGAGCCTGGCTGGAAGTCAGCAGCCTCCTGGGTCACCCCCTCTTTGTGATCCTTTCTTTTCCTGTTCCCTCAAGCTAGCTTCTCTCCAAAGACCTTTCACACTGATGTCGGAAGACGGGGCTGGGGAGGGTTGTGGGGGACACAGGCCTGGTCCTGAAGCAGCAAAGGAAGGAGGGAGTGGTAGTCTTCAGGGACACAGAGCGGCCTGGACGTTCAAACACCGGATCAAGTGTCTGCCTTCCACTGTGGGATTCTGCAGCTAGGACCTGGTGCTCCACAGTGACAAGGGCCCCATAAAGGTAGCTCTGTAATGTTGGACAGCTCACCTCACCGGTCTGGTCTTTGAGTTTTCTTATCAACACAAAGCACACAATAGCAGTTTGTGCCTCATAGGGTTGCTGTGGGAATCTAACCGTACATGTAATGTGCATGTAGTATGTAGTGTGTGCCTAATCGGTGTTCGCTGCCACTGCTGTAAGCGTATCGTAAGCAACTTTGGTGGGCTCTTTATCCTGGGTCATATGGGATGTGTTCGCACCAGTGAATCTCTGCAGGATAGATCAGGCCGCGAAGTAAAGCTGTTCACTGGTGTGGTGATGGTAATAGTGGTGGTGGTTGTGGTTGTGTGGTGTGGTATAGCGTGGTGGTGGTGGTAGTGGTGGTGGCGCTGGTGGTAGTGATGGTGGTAGTGGTGGTAGTGATGATGGTAGTGGTGGTGGTAGTGGTGGTAGTGGTGGTGCTGGTGGTGGTGGTGGTGGTAGTGGTGGTGGTGGCGCTGGTGGTAGTGATGGTGGTAGTGGTGGTGGCGCTGGTGGTAGTGGTGGTGCTGGTAGTGGTAGTGCACAGAAACACACCCAAATGTGGAAACCATTAAAGGCATTTATGGTTGAGAGGCCTGTACCAATGGGAGGCACACCACAGAGTCATGAGCCCATGTCAGCTGAGTGTATAAACAAGTTTTGCACACACAAGGGTGTGGCTTTAGGGATACAAGAGTTGTGTGGAGAATTGTGCTGTGACAGCCACCTCTGAGTTGCTGAGACTCTGTGGTGCTTTTCCGTAACTCCAGAGTCTCCTGACGTGTGTCCTTCAGGACTCTGATCTATGCAACAAATGTGCGTTGCTGGAAAAAGATCAGATACTGTCTGTCCCCACGAGCCAAGTGGGGTCACAGTGATCAGTTCTTCCTGGGGTAGTATGAGCCGTCTTTGCCCTGGGCTTGATGATAACAGACCCCTTGTTCTTGTGATCTCAGGGTGGTCCCCAAATGTTTCTCAGCTAAGGAGCCCCTGATTCTGGGAGGAGGTAAGAGCTTGCCAAGATCATAGGGATAACCCAGCCAAAGGACTTGGCTTTGGGCCAGGAGACCTGTTTCCAAACAGAGCAGAGGAAGCAGACACTGTATGGTTCATGCATCCCTTAAGACGTCCCGGTGTATGGAAACCTCATCTTTGGCTGTCCCAGGGGAATGGTCTGGCTAAACACTTCATGTTTTATAGAGTGGGTAACTGGGTCAGAAGAAGAATATCATAGTGGGCAGGCTCTGTGCTGTCATTGTGGCGTGATGGGGGAGCTACAGGTGTGGTGAATGGACAGGAGGGTGGAACCAGAAAACCATGAAGCATGGATTGTACCTGGCCTCCTTGGACCTCTCTACTAACTCCAGCATAGCGGGGAAGGGGTTTTGCCCTGGGATGCTCTCTGGATCTCAGTTTTCCCATCTATAAAATGAGATAGTGGTGAACTACCTGTCTCCTCTATCTAGGCCCTTCCATCTCTCAGAGTCCATGAACTCTGAGCCAGGATGGCGAGATGCCTAGAAAGACTGTCCCTGGAGACCCATCAGCCTGTCAGGGCCAGGGCTAATTAGGGTGAGTTAGGAGGGAGGGCAGGGTCAGATTCCTCAAGAGCTAATTAGCTTCCCACAGTCGGGAAGGAGTTTTCTCAGCCACCGGGTAAACTATGATCCTGGTCCTAGGTTGATCCCTCCAGCTGCCTGTGACTCAGCTGTCCGGGCAGCTTGGTTTATTCATTGTTCAACAGCATTGAGTACCGAGTGCATGCCAGCTGGGCACTGTGGACAGAAAGAGAAACGGTGACCTCGCTTAATAGGGGTCCAACCTGTGACCTCTGTCTTTGCCATTCCCCACTGCCTCTTCCCCCAGAGAGACCTTGAACACCGTCTTTGCCACCTGTAGCTGCGTGGCCTCGCATCTGTCAGGAATCCGTGAACTTAGAGAAGTTTTCCTCTGCAGTACAGGCACACAGTGGCTGTCACCCGGTACACTTGGGAGAACAAGATAAACGAACACAGTGGGCCAGTGTGACCCCCACTGACATTTCACTTATGTTAGAATGTATGGACTTCTAAATAATTTTCTTTATAAAAATGAGGGAAGATTGCGGAAGGGTATAGAAGAAACTGGCAGAATGGATTCTTGGTTTGATGTGGTATAATCAGGGGTGGGACACTGCCATGGTTACTTTTTTATTTGAATACGTTAACCTTTCCTTTTTTTTTTTAAGACAGGTTTCTCTGTGTAGCTCTGGCTATCCTGGAACTCACTACGTAGACTGGGCTGACCTTGAACTCAGAGATCGACCTGCCTCTGCCTCCCAAGCGCTGGGATTAAAGGCATGCGTCACCATGCCTTGCGTGTTAACCTATTTTTTAAAAAGAGGTCTTAGGGGCAGGTGAGATGCCTCAACAGGTAGAGGCATTTTGCTGTGCAAGCTTGGAGTTTGGGCCCCAGAACCCACGTAAAAGTTGAAAAGACCCGACTCCACATACTACCTTCTGCCCTCCACACGTGTAACTTGGTTCAGGATTCCCCGCGATGATAAAATACCTAAAAAAAAAAAATCTTCGTAGCATCTTCCTATAAAATATCAAGCAAATGACCATACTCTGAATTTGAGAGTGTTAAAAGACCCCCCAGAAAGGCATATGGAAAGTATTCTGGGGTTACTTTGCACATTTGGGACTCTCTAGACCAAACGCTGTTCTCAGGGTTGGAGTCAGAGAGGAAAATGTATCAAGCGAGGCCCTCAGAGCTGTGTGTGAGGGGGGAAGATGAATCAGGAGATGTGCAAACACTTGAATTTCAAAGAGCGGTGAGTGCCAGGGAGGAAAAGCAGAGATAAGACCCAGACAGCAAGGCCCCTCCAGGGAGGTGCTGTCAGGGAAAAGGATGTTCCCTGCGCATAAGGCGCCTTACTTGGCCTTACTTCCCCTTCTCTAGTGTAGAAGGGAGGCAGAGATGATGAGAAACATTCTCAAGGGGTGAGAGTGGCTGGTGGTCAGGGGGACCATGGGAGATGTAGCTAGTGGGGTGACTCAGTTTGGAGAAGCACTGTCTTGGCAGCCTTCCTGGGCGGTCCAGTGGAATGGGCAGGCCATCCTGAACATCTGATTAGCTTCATCCTTGACTCCTCATGACAGCTGATTCTGGGAAACCGGGCAAAGGTCAGATTTCAAAGAAATGTCGGCTGTAGGAGGGCATGGTGACTGTCTGTAGGCCCATTTGCTAACTAGGCCTGTGTATTCTTCTGCAGCCTTAGGCCGGAGCACTAGCTTCACTGAAAAGGATCTGAAGGAGGCCAAGGCGTGGAGCCAGCAGATTGCAGCCCAGCTGACCACCCCTCCCAGCTCCAACTCCCGAGGGGTCCAGCTCTTCAACAGGCGCCGGCAGAGGGTGAACGAGTTCACCTTGGAGAGCCGTGGCCAGAAGCCACCAAAGCATAGTCAAGAGGCCCACACAGGGCATCCTTCAAACCCCACAGGCCATGCCCCAGGGCTCAGTCTGAGACCTCCATCTCCACCCAAGCCAGGCTCTCCAAAGCATCCCAGCCCCCGAAGCCCCAGCAGAGGGGTCCCTGGCCACATCATGGAAGGCTACTCAGAGGAAGCCAGCCTCCTGCGGCATCTGGAGAAGGTTGCCAGCGAGGAAGAAGAAGTACCACTGGTGGTTTATTTAAAGGAGAATGCAGCCCTGCTAACGGCTAATGGGCTACACCTGTCCCAGAGCCGGGAGCCCGAACAGTCCTCACCAAACCCTCCAACAACTGAGGCACACAGTCCAGCTGCAGACATCAACCAGAACCTCTCCTCACCCAATGCCACACTCACCACGCCAGCGTCCAACAGCCACCACAACCAGCCCACCACCGATGTGAATCAGAATCCCCCAGCCGCTGTCACCCCTGTCCAACAGAATTCATCTGAGGCCCAGTGTCCCCCAAATGGCACGCCCGATTCCAAACCCAGCACTCCGTGTGCTGATGGGCAGCCCCAGGTGCCAGCAGGGGAGGTGAGATCCAGCATTCTGCTGATTGATAAGGTGTCAGCTCCATCCCCTGTCCCCAGCACCTTCTCTAGAGAGGTCACTCCCCTCTCCAGCTCTGGGCCACCAGCAGCAGATCTCATGTCCAGCTCCCTGCTCGTTGACATGCAGCCTAGCAACCTAGTGGCGTCAGCAGAGCAAGAGATGTCCGGACGTGCAGCTGTCACCACGCCCACCAAGGTGTACAGTGAAGTGCATCTCACACTAGCCAAGCCCGCATCGGTGGTCAACAGGACGGCCCGGCCTTTTGGGATTCAGTCACCAGGGAGTACCAGCCAGGTGGAACAGAGTCCCATGATGGGAAGACGACATTTTGGAGAGAAGACCTGGGCTCCCCCAACTACCACCATGGTGGACAGGAGTCCCCAGCCTCAAAGGCACATGATGTCCCGCAGCCCCATGGTAGAAAGGAGGCTGGTTGGGCAGCGAAGCCCAGTCCTGGAGAGACGCCCCTTAGGAAGCTTCACCCCACCCCCCACCTATGCCGAGACTTTGTCAACAGCCCCGGTGGCTTCCCGGGTTAGGTCTCCTCCTTCTTACTCTACTTTGTACCCCAGCTCTGACCCCAAGCCACCTCATTTGAAGAACCAGGTAGTCCCTGCCAACAAGACAGGCATTTTGGAAGAGTCTATGGCCCGCCGAGGCAGCCGGAAATCAATGTTCACTTTCGTGGAGAAGCCCAAGGTGACCCCGAATCCAGACTTGCTGGACCTAGTGCAGACAGCTGATGAGAAACGGAGGCAGAGAGACCATGGGGAGGTGGGCATGGAAGATGAGCCCTTTGCCCTGGGAGCTGAGGCCTCCAATTTCCAGCAGGAACCAGTAGCTCGGGACAGGGCCAGCCCTGCGGCTGCTGAGGAGACTGTCCCCGAGTGGGCCTCCTGCCTCAAGTCACCCCGTATTAAGGCTAAGCCAAAGCCCACACCCAACCAGAACCTCTCAGAGGCCTCAGGGAAGGGAGCTGAGCTCTATGCCCGCCGCCAGTCGCGGATGGAGAAATACGTCATAGAGTCTGCAGGCCACGCTGAATTGGCCCGCTGCCCTTCACCTACTATGTCCCTGCCGTCATCCTGGAAGTACTCCACTAATGCCCCTGGGGGCTTCCGAGTGGCATCCCTCAGCCCAGCGCGGACTCCGCCTGCCTCTCTCTACCACGGCTATCTGCCAGAGAATGGGGTCCTGCGCCCAGAACCTACCAAGCAGCAGCCATACCAGATGAGGCCTTCACTCTACGCTCTGTCTCCCGTCAAGGAACCTGCCAAGACCTCATCCCGCTCCACCTCACCACGCACTCCGTCCCGCACTGTCTCACCTCGTGCCACCTCTCCAGCCAAGCCTAGCTCCCTGGACCTGGTGCCCAACCTGCCTAGGGCAGGCCTGCCACCATCTCCTGCTCTGCCTCGGCCTTCCCGCTCCTCCCCAGGCCTCTACACTGTCCCTGTTCAGGACAGTCTCCAGCCCACTGCCGTGAGCCCCACCTATAGCAGTGACATCTCGCCCGTGTCTCCCTCCAGGGCGTGGTCTCCCCGAGCCAAGCAGGCCCCCAGGCCTTCCTTCTCTACCCGGAATGCTGGAATCGAGGCCCAGGTGTGGAAGCCTTCTTTCTGCTTCAAGTAACGCATCCCGGTGCCTGTCTTGTCTCCTTCTCGGAGGGTCAGAGAGAAGATGTGGCAGGATGTGGTTCGGGGCTTAGCGAGAAGATAGGCATCCATGGATCAAGGCCTGGCTGTTGCCAACAGCTAGCTATGCAACCGTGGGTGGACCATCTCCCCTCTCCGAGCTGTAGACGAAGGGGTGTAGACTCCTTGTCTGGGTGGTGCAGAGGGTCATAGAGTAAGACTACCCTGAGAGGGTCCTATTAAGCAGTCTTTCCCTGGCCGTGCAAGCTTCAGTCAGTGTCTTGCTGGCCGAAGGCCCAGAGGGCTCCTCATGGGGACTTCTGGAACAGACAGTGGCTTCTGGCTGTGCCTTACTCATAGGGCTCAGGCTCCTGGCATCTGGCTTCCTGCTTCTGGATTCTCACCTCCACAGGGTGTTTCTTCCCCTCTGCCTTCTGGACATTTCCTCTCCACTGCCTCAGAGAGCTTTGCTTGGCTCCACCTCTCTCCTGAGTCCTCTGCTGCCTGTGGACTTCAGCGTTATCACTGTTTTCTGATGCTTGTCTTCCTGCTCTCTGAGACTCTGCAGCCTCCGTGCCCTCTCCAGGACCCGACTCTACACAGGGAGGGAAACTCCTGGGCTCAGACCTCAGTCCTGTTTCCACTGCCTTGCCCTCACTGTTCTGGGGGTGAGGGGACATCCCAGGGTATCCCTGAGAAGAATGTCCTTTAGAGGGGGCTATGTAGATGTTAGGAGAGTGACCCTTTAGTCATATAGTGACTCAGCCAAGGTCACTATACTGACCAAAACAAGCCACCTCAGTGCAACAGCACCGGTCCAGGGAGAGGCAATGGAAGAATGTTCTAGACTCATGCACCTTCCATTTTCTAGGTGACTTTGGCCAATTCACTTTTCCTTTTTGGACCTTAGTTTTCCCTTATACACAGGGTCTTCCAATTGTGGTAATCACTGAAGATTGAGAGACTGGGCTGGTGCAGTGGAATAAAGGTCTCAGAGGCAAGGGGACTTTCGTGCAGAAAAAAAGTAGAAAGGATGGGCTGTTGCTGAGGGACACAGGAGTTAGCTTTCGATGAGAGTGACCCGGTGAGGTAGAGTGGAATGAGCTACTGCAGCAAACCACAGTCAGAAGCCTGGGCTGGGCGAGCTTAAGCTTGGGATCAGCTGGTGGCAGTTGGAACATGGCACAGTAGCTCAAAAGAGAGGGACAGGATAGACCCTAGAGCTTTGAGGAAAAGATTGGACTTAGACGAGAATTCTGGACTTAGACGAGAATTCTGACTGGATGTTCACTTTGGGTCTCAGTTTCCCCATTCATACAGAGGGTGTCGAGTCAGGTAGCCTGAGATCACCATTCCCTGCTCCTCTTTGATATGGTATACCCCCCCCTCCAAACTAGTCTTTGTTGGGGGTGGAGAATACAATCACAAGAAGACATATTTAGATGGAATCTTCCCAAGACTTGAGGCTAGGACCACCCACTTCCTCTTTCCCAGCCCTATTTCTGGGATCCCAGAGAGGCAGGGGTGGTGGAGGCGGTGACCGTGCTGGGCTGAGTGCGCTGGCTGAGTGCGCAGTTTTCATGAGCTTTGGGCTTGTCTCCATGGGAACAGGGGTGCCTTGTCAGGGAGCTCATCCAAGCGGGAGAGGGGGATGCATGTGGGAACTGCGAGTGAGCTTGACTTCTTCAGGTCTCCCCAGAACAGAGTGAGCCCCTAGAAGACCCTGCTCTTTTGTACCTGGGGTGAGGGTGGGGGTGGTAGTGGAGGAGCCCGTCCTCCGTCCTGTAGCTCTTGCCGCTGGGCTGAGCTCTTTGCCACTTGGTTCTGTCTTCTGTTCTCAATACACTCTGTCTCAAATCTGCCTTGCTTCTTTCTTCTGCGCTGTTAATGCCATGGGCTGGGGCTCCTCTCCTCCCTGATTCGGTCCTGGAAGTGAAGTGGAACTGCTCAGCTGTGTGTGTATGTGTGTGTGTGTGTGCGTGCGTGGGAGTGAGGTTGTGTCTCTGGGTGCTACTGTGCCTGTGGTGTGTCTGCATCTGTTGGTGTCAGCCATGGGCTGCCCAGGAAAGGAGGGCGTTTTCCTCCCTTCACTCCTTTCCTGAGGCTAGCCCAGACTGTGTTGAGGATAGAGGAAACACACTGCCCTACGGCCCAAATTGGTTTCCGTTTTTTTTCTTTTTTTTTTTTTGATAGGGTCTGTAGCACAGGCTGGCCTTGAACTCATGATGATCCTTCCACCTCAGCCTTCTAAGTGCTAGGACTATAATCATGAGCTTCTGTGTCTAGTTCTGTTGTTGTTCACTGGGTTTTTATTGTTATTTTCTGAGACAAGGCCTCACTGTGTAGCTCTGGCTGGCCAGGCTGACCTTGAACTCACAGAGATTCACCTGTTTATGTCTCCAGGACTGGGGTGAAAGAAAGGTATGCATCAGTATGCCTAGTTCTGATATGCCTGGGTCTGTCTGAGGTGGGTTTGTACGTGTGTCTTGGGGGGGAGGTGGATTGAAATGTCCTCCATCAATCAATTCACTGTTCACTCCAGTCCCCTCCCCTTCTTTTTTTTTTTTTAAATCTAAATTGAACGTTTCCCACGTTTATCACCCGTCCTGCCTGGCTCCCCTGGTGGAGAAGAAAGAGCGATGAGATCAGTCCCTGGTTCCTACGTGACTTTGCATAGCCCCCTGACTGTCTCTGGCCCTGGCTTCCCCTGCCACTGGTTCTTCCCAGCGCAAAGATGGGCTGCAGGAGGTGATCCCGGTGGTCTCCGACAGAACTGTGCTGACTGCTCAGCTTTGTCTCCGCCCCCTCCACTCCATGGTCCTGCTGAGAGGCTGGGGTGACTAGCTGTTTCATTCTGAATTTTCACCCATTGCACTTTCAAGGAGTTTGGTAGACACAGTGCACTGGGCTCCTTGGCAGGAAGTGAACAGTTCTGCTTCCTTCTTCCTTTCTGTATTGTGCCCCTTCTGCCCCCACATGGACCGTTATGAGACATGGCAGTTAACATGAGGTCAGGCCTGGCTCATCTCTACACTTCAGCCTGTCCCTGAACCATGTCACTTCACAGTCCTGACTGAATTTGATGTCTCCTTCCACTTGTTGGATCCAGCAATCCCCTATAATCAGGAAAGGCAGAAACAAAATTTTAGAGCTATTTAGACAGCTCTCCTAGCTCCTCCAGACTCTTCTGGTTCTGCCTTAACATTCTGACTGTGGCCAGGTGTGGTAGCACACGCCTTTGATCTCAGCACTCTGGAGGCAGAGGCAGGAGGATCTCTGTGAGTTGAGGCCAGCCTGGTTTTCATCGGGAGCTCTAGGACAGCCAGGGCCACATAGAGAGACCTTAAGACAACAGCCACAAAACATCTGGTGACTGACTTGGGTCATGAACTCGGAGTGGCACTCATTAGATAATGAGACATGCCTGAGTCCCCTCGATCAGCTTTTGGCTCTGAGACTGGTCTTAGCCGCTAGTCCTTCCTGTCTCACCAGGGCAGGAACCTCCCTTGAAGTTCTCCATAAGCTGTGGTGTGCCTCCCATAGGTGACCTGGTTGCAGGCTGCAATGTGTCACACACACCGAACAGTTCTCAGGGATTCTGGCTTTCATATACACACAGAACCCTGACCCTGGGAATAAAGAGGGGAGGAGGCCTGGTGCTGAGCCTTGAGTTGCTCCCTCGATGAGATTGGCTATCCTGGAAAAGCGTCCACAGGCCACTGCAGCAAACTCTCCTCTCTGGTTCTTCTTAACGGTGCTTTTTAGTGAAAGGGCACAGAGGTTGGACTCCTCTAGCACCTGCTGCTGTGTGATTGGTCAATATATACCATCTGCCTCTGGTTTCCTTTTGATTGGGCGGGAGTAAATTCCCCATTGGTCGACAGGATGACTGGCAGATGGCTGGCTGGGCGAAAGCATGGATCTTGTGGGTGATTACAGACTTTGATTGGGATGAGGTCACTGACTGAACCTGATAGCTTGGGACTGGGATGAATGGATGATTGCTAGTGAACGTGGTCGCAACCAAAAGCCCAAGTGAGCTACTTATTTCTGGAATATGGGTCTACAGCTGGATAGTTTAAGGTATATGTGTTTGGCCTGGATTCCCAAGCCCTCCACTTTCAACCCCCTTAACACCGTTTAAGCATGGTCTAGCCTTTGAAACACACACACACCACTGGGCTGTCATTTACACCTCTGGGTTTCATTTCCATCACTAGCGAAATGAATGTGATAATGCCAATGTCCTAACCGGTATGACCTAACTGGAAGACGTGAGAGATGACAGATGAGGAAGGAACACGTAGATGGATAGGAAACAAACACTCAGCTCCGTAGGAAATGCGTTTGCCACAATAGTGGCACAATGCTTTGCACCACGGATGCCTTCACCCCCTGGTTTGCGCAGAATCAGTCTCACTGCCCCTTTTGGCAAGAAGCACAGACACGGGAGAACGCTGTCTAGTGATGAGAGGCTTGCCTGCCTTTTGTGTCTCCACCCGCCAGTAGAAACTTACTTCTACTGGGCCCCCAAGAAAATGAAGTGAGGAGGTAACTTTGAAACATAAGGGCTGAACAGATCTACTCATGAAAGGATTCGTGAAGTCCAATCTTAATAGCGGTAGTAATATTTTTGAGTAGATAAAACAACCGTATGGTTCAAAACTAAACATACATATAGTCATTGAAAAAGACTAGTCCTCACCCCCTGTGGCTGTGTGCATTGTGCCTACCAGCCCCATTCCTTAGCCTTTTGTGTCTTTTCCATCTCTACTTATGGTAGTTTCTATTTAGTAGTTCCTTCCAAGGAACGTGCTAATGCACGCAGTGTTCCTTCACATAGCTGTTCTTACCTCGCGACTTCCTGGACACCCCATTATAGAGAGGAGGAAGGTGAAGGCTAAAGGGCTAGACGATTGCTTGCACATTCCTTTCCACCAACTGAGGGAACCTGTGTCCAAAGCAAGGAGGGGGCTGACTCCAGATAGCAAAGGCTTTTAAAACTTCTGCATTGAGTTGAACCACCTGTGTTTTTACTTCAGGCACTACCTTTCCGATCTCCTAATGATGGAGAACCATACTCGATCTTTTCCAAAACCCTGATTCTCGAGGACCTGGCACTAAACCTTCCCTCCCGCCCTCTCTGCTCTCTCCCCAGGACCGCCCCGAGAGCCTGCCCACGTCCCCGCCCTGGACGCCGGGAGCTTCCCGACCCCCCAGCAGCCTGGACGGCTGGGTGAGCCCGGGGCCGTGGGAGCCGGGTCACCGGAGCAGCATGAGCAGCCCCCCGCCGCTGCCGCCGCCGCCTCCAATGTCCCCCTCGTGG